TCTTTCACTAATACTTCACAAGTTTACATGCCCAGGCCTGTATAGTGATCTGATGAGGGAAAGAACCATAGCTAATGCCTGATGCCATTCAGGTGGGATTCTACCCCAAAAAATAAAATCTAATTGTACTAACCCTAAGCAGAGGGGAGGAGGGGAGCAGGTTGGTTGTGAGAAGGGGACACAAAAACTACTAAATCTATCCCTCTTAAAAATTTCACCCTCAAAAAAAATATTCACCTCCCTAACTGACCCCACAGTTGCAAAGGAATTCTTTACTGTGGGGCCAAATTTGCAAAGCCTAAATAGACATCAGGGAGATCCTCCTCATGGGCCTAAAACTGTTTCTGCAGACTTTGTAAGAGCAAACTTTCTGTTAAGTTCTGACCTAGCCTATGGAACTACAATTAAGACCCTCATTAGCTTTCTGTTTAAACTTCTGCAACCTTCCCAGTTTCTTGGTGAGAATAAGTGATAGGCTGGCCCCAGGGTGTCTTTCTAGGGGTACCTATTTCCAATTTTCATATTCTTTTCAGTTCTTATTCTCTTCTCTTCTATCCCTGATCTCTCCAAGCTTTAACACATTCCCTAATATTCTCTGGGTTAAAGATCTTGCTTCCCTTCTACAACCCATCGGTCCCACCCTCATTAGGATTGTTTTTATTAGATCCATAAGCAGCTCTATTTGCCTTCAAGGGGGTACTCCTTAAACATCAAAAGCTCATTCAACTCTATCTGTACTGATACATGTGCAAGGACGATTTATCTTTATTTTCCTTACATTAGTGATCCAGCTTTTCCAAAACCACTAAGAGTCAAGAAATACTTGATTTTGCTATGTTTTCTGCCTTTCTAGTCAAACTCTTTACGTATTCCTTTGACTGATCCTAGGGGCAGCAGGAGGTCCTTGCTTATCCATGTATAGGAATCCCCATATACCTTTGACAGTGCTAAAGTCACAATATACAAGAGTCCGGCGTCTGGATGTCCAATTACCCAAAGCCTCTGCCCACCTCCCCTACCATCCTTTCCCCACTTCAGTGATCTTAATCACAAAATTATTACAATCTTTGACAACTATGCCAAATATTCTGTGCCAGGATTAACTCATTCAGATCCAGTGAATGATTCAAGCCCAGGATTAGAATCAGAATGCAATGAGATAACTATGAATCAAAAAATGCAGTAAAAATTACTTCACTAATAAAGAATAAAAAGGTACATTCCTAAAATTAAAAAGATAGTAGTAATTCATATGAAGCAGCTAGTCTCTTCCACTGCTGTATTTACTGTGTTAAACTGGCCTTGCTGGGTGAGAAAGTTGTTCTTGCTGCAAAGTGTAAATTCCAATAAATCTTCAGATACCAGTTTCTCATAGGCTGTGCTTTTTTTTTTCTTCAAGTGTGCAAGAAAGCCCAATGGCCTCCTTGTACCTTTAAAGGACCAGCTCAGCCTACACAAAACAGGTCAATCCCACCACAGCTTGAGAATCTTCATGGTTGGTGGAGAGCTTTTAAAGCTACATTTTCTACTAAATTGCTCAAGCACACCTCATTATATTAAAAGGGCTTTTCAGTAATCTTATAGCAATAACTTGTTTGCCTTTGTGTCCCCAGTGCTTAGCACAGTAGCACACAGTAGGCACTTAATACTAGTTGACTGACTAAAAAACATAATGGATAAAAAATGCTTATTGTCCTGAGTGACATGGGTCAATCTATTAAGCTAGTATGTCAATACATATAATCTATGCTGGCCATTACAGATGGGCCCAGAATTGAAGGAAGAAAGCAGACTGGATTACATTTGGAAGATTGTGTAATGTTTTTAATAATACCATGGTATTCTCTGGCACAAAGACTCATTTCCACACAAATGGGCTTCCAATAATGAATACTGGATGGTTTGGAACTTAGAACACCATAATCTCCAGGGAATTGATTAGCTTAACGATTCTTATAAGAATAAGTAACTTTTTTTGGCCTTTCTTTATATTTACAGTGCTTAGCATGGTGCCTTGTACATAGTAAGCATCGTTTATTGACTGACCGACTGAAACAGAGCAATGACGAAAATCATGGTGAGCCAAAGTAAGCAGCATGTTGACAATTATAATCTATGTTCAAGAAGTTATGTTAGGGATATCATTAAGGTAACTATCAATTAGAAATGAAGGTGAGACAATCATGTAGCAAGCATGAAGAATGGACAGCCAGCCAGGGTACTCCACTGGTATTCTTGAAATGTAAAAATACCTAGAGAAAGGCTTCAAGCAGTTTGGGTAGATCCTCTGTGGAGAATTCATGGGAGAACATGGACAAGAATTGTATATGATTAAAGAACACGAAGAAAAGTAAAATTAGTTCAAAAAGATAGGTGGGAGGTAGATTGTGATGAAAAGGATTGATTGATGGGTGACCAATGTGTTCTATGGGAGAACATGGACAAGAACCACACTGAGTTAGAGGGCATGAAGAAAAGTAAAATCAGTTCAGAAAGACAGGTGGGAAGTAGATTATGATGAGTTTTGATGGGCAACCACCAGCTTTTCCACAGATGGGAGTCTGAGCTATGGCCCCTCCCTCTTTTTCAATCACTACCCCTCTCAAACACTGCCCATAGTTCATCATCATAGAAAGCAAGGAAGTGACTTTTAGATATAATGGTTTCCTTTAATAGGTCTAAAATAACTTGTTAGTGAAATATCATTATTTATATTCCAAAAGGCTTTAAAAAAAAAAAGATCAACACTAGATCATCAGGCTGTCTGATTGGGAGAATGGACTGATGCCTCAGAGTTATTAGAAAAATTGATTATCTTTAGTTAGAGGAAAATGTTAAAGCTCTTGAGCCAGTTAAAAACAACACCTGATGAATCAGAAAATCATTTTTCATGCTTCTTTCATTTGGGTTTCACACAGAATAATATTTATTTGCTTACAAGAATCCCAACTTATCAAAATATCCTTGTTACTAATCTAGGTTGGGAAACATTTGAAGGCTGAAGCATCTTCCTAAGAGCTTAAAGCACAGGCTCCAAAATTGTCAGTAAGCGTTTATTATGCACCTATCTATGTTCTAGGCACTGTGATTAATCAGTGGGGATACAAAGGCAAAAAACAAACAAAAACAAAACTTGTTAAACTGCTCTCAAGTTCCTCACAGTAGTGGGGAAGACAAAATGCAAATTCGGCACGAGATTTTGGTAATTGGGGTTAAGTGACTTGCCCAGGGTCACACAGGTAGTATCAAACGTTTGGCCTGAGGCTGAGATTTGAACGCAGGTCCTCCTGACTTAAGAGCCGGTGCTCGATCCACGGCGCCACCTAGCTGCCCTGAATTCGCTTTGTCTTGAGAGAGGCAGACCCATCAGTTGGGGCGGGTCAAAGAGAGGAAGACAAACTGAAAGTAAAGAGATTTATCAGCATGCTAAGGAATCTGTCCTTGCTGATAGCAAATTCAGATTCCTGGGGTACTGATTGGTTTTTATAATCTTTCAGGGCCACTTAGAATAAACTGTCAGTTAGCAGCTTTCTGCAGCAGTTTAGGATGGAAAAGTAAAGCATTTTGCCGGAGAAGGAGCATTAGAAAAAGAGGGGTATCAGTCAAACGAGAAAAGGGGAGTGTTTGGAATTCAAGTGGTGGGATTTATTATCAAAATGAGAAAACATTCCTTGTTCAAGGGCAGGAGACAAGGAGAAGCTATCAAATGTACAAGTGTGAAAGCAGCCTTTTTAGACAAAATTGCAGGGTGTCTTATCCAAGGACAGTAAGTACACCGGCAAGGATGAATTAGACCATATGCTTTATCATGTCTTTGCATGGGGGTGAGGACTTTCTAATAGTAGGCCACCAGGTAAATAACTGTGGTTCATATTTCCCCCCACATTACAAATAATACACGTACAGAATAAATTGGAAGTAATCTCAAAGGGAAGGCACTAAGGTTGATGTGGACTGGAAAAAGGTTTCTTTCGAGAAAGTGAGACTAGCTGAGACTTGAAGGAAGCCAGGAGGCAGAGATGAAGAGAGTTCCACGCATGGAATACTGCCAGTGAAAGCCCACCGGAGTGGGGAGAAGGGGTGTCATGTGTGCCGAATAACAAAAGGACCAGTGTCACTGGATCGCAGAGTTTGTGGAGGGGCGTCAGGTCAAGAAGACTGAAAAGGGAGGGTCTAGGTCACCAGGGCATTAACAGCCAAGCGGAAGCTGACAGTGCCAGGAAGCCACTGGAGTTTACTGAACAAAAGGGTGACACGATCAGACTCGCTCTTCAGGAAGATGTATTTGGCAGCTGAGAGGAGGATGAAGTGGACTGGCCAGAGACTCGAGGCCGGGGGAGCCACCAATAGGCTATTTTAATAGGGCAGGTGTGAGGTTATGAGGGCGTGCACCAGGGTGGAGGCAGTGTTGGGGATGTGCGAGAGATGTTACCGAGGTAAAAGCCACCTGGCTCAGGGGAAAGCGGGAGGGTGGGGACGAGGTGTGGCTTGGGAGGAGGGGCGAAGGGCGGGCCAGAGCTACCCCCCTACAAGAGGGCTGGGTGGGCAGTTGGGTGGTGTAGTGGAGAGAGTCGGGTGGACCTGAGTTCAAATCCAACCTCTGACACCTGACACTAGATGTGTGGCCTGGGCAAGTCACTTAATCCCGATTGCCTCACCAAAAAAAAAAAAAAAAAAAAAGGATAGTGCTGGGTGGATGAAATTTTCCAACGTCCCTTGCCACTATGGACGACAATGCATTTCCTCCAAAGAGCTCGGGCCGGGTAACAACACTGGTGAAGTGGCGCAGGACAGGGACCCAAGGTCCCCAGGCGGCTCTCCCCGCCAGCAGCCTCCCGGCTCCCGTACTTCCCTGCAGCAGTCAGTCGGTCCCGTAGCGCTTACGCCGCGTCTAGGCTCGCAAGTGCACCACGTGACAACCCTGAGACTAAGAGGCTACTCCCTTCTTCCCTCCTCACGCGGATGGGTCTCGCGAGATTTTCCTCTTCCGGCGGAAGTCATTCATGGAATTTTGGCTTTTCAGCTTGGTGTCTAGGGTGGGAGGTGTACCCCGGTAACTGGCGGCAGGATGTTCACGGCGGGCACAGAGAGTTTACTTCTCCAGGCCAGGTGCGGGGAGAGGGTAGCGCCCCTCGGGGGGGGGGGGGCGGGAGCCTTGGGCCCCCGGGTCCGCGCCTGGGGCAACGGTTTTTGCCTCGGGGGCAGTCCCTCCTGAGGCCCATCGTGCGTAGTTTAGGCCGGAAGGGGATCGTCGCTTGTCTGCTGCGCCTGCCTCGGAAGGGGGGGTGGCGTGGACACCGCCCCAAAACGCTCCAGTTGTCAGATTGCTCTTTAAAACAAAGGAACAGACCCTGATCGCTTGCATCTTAAAATATTTACTTAGAACACATAAAATAAGTGTAGAGTCAGTCACAATCTAGATCTAGCGTAGAACTAAATGGATGAAAAGGTGACCGAGCATATTGGTGCAGTCATTAGCCTGTCAAGTCTTCTTGGGCTTTGTCTTCATTTTTACTGAGGACGAAACTGAAGCCTGGGGCCTTGCCAGGAGTCAGAAAGGCAGTGTATGTGGAAGATAGTATTTGAACCCAGAGGCTCTTTCGTCACAGCTAGTGGTCTTGCCGCTATACCAGGCTTTCTTCCTGCATCTACAACTGATTGCCAGACAACTCTAATTAGAATTTACATCATAATTTCACACTCAAATTACATAAAACCAAACTTAATCACTTCATTTCTGGTGTTGTGAATTTTTAGTTTTATTTCCATTTTACTGAAAAGTGTAAAGGAGTCCTCAAAAGGTATTAGAAAATAGTTTGTCTTGTAAGTTAAAGTATTGTGTAAAATAAGATTTTTTTTCTCCCACCTATGATATCAGTGTGGGAGCGCATGATATAGAAATATACCCTCCACTAATGCAGATGTGTAATTTATAAGTAACTTCTGGTCTTGTTGCTTGGGACTCAGAGGTTCAGTGACGTGGTCACACCTAGAATCGTTTAGAGGTAGACCTTGAACACAGCTCTTCGTGATTTCAAGGGCAGTTCTTCCTAGCATTTATATAGTCTTTTAAGATTTACAAAATACTTTACAAAAATTATTTCACTTTATTCTCACGACAGCTCTGAAATGTAGATGCTATTATTATTAATCTCATTTTAGAAATGAAAAAACTCAGGCTGAAAGAAGTTAAGTAACTTGTTTAGGATTACATTGGGGTATCCAAGCCCAGATGTGAACTCAGTCGAGCTATCTGCCCTCTTAGGTACCTCTGTTCTTGATGCACTACGTCTCAGCTATCATGGAAAAAGTCATCAAGGAAAACAAAATTGATACATATATATTTTTTAAATAAGAGCAGATATATTTAGCTTGTTAGCCTGTTGAGTAAATAACCTTGTTTGCTTTGGGGCATGTGGTCACTTCAAATGATTAAGCATTGGACCCCAAATATCTTTAGTTTCCCTTAATTACCTATTATAGTTCCTTAATTTATTCATTAATCTTCTAGTGTTTCTTAATCAGAGGTTCAGTGAACAAAATATTTTAACAGCTGTATTTCAATAGAATTGCTTTCCTTTGTAATCCTTTGTATTTTATACATGTAAAGAGCTTTATTCTGAGAAAGAGTCTGTGGGCTTCATCAGACTTCGTAAAGGGTCCGTGACAAGAAAATAGTTAACCCTGGACCTAAATCATCTTAAAGTTTGAATGGAAGGACAGCTGTTTTCAGGCAGTACCTTACTGTATCTGCTATGTAAAATGGTACTTTCTTGCAATAGTTGTTAAAAAAAAAATAGCCAGTAAAGCTGGGCTTTCATGATTTTTTTAAGTTTCAGTAATATCCTCTCAAGACTCCATCCTTCTGTACTGAAGTCATTTTCTTATTATAGCTTCTTTATTCCAATGATAATGATGATGATGATGATGATGATGATGATGATTTGGATTAGATTCTCCATCATGCCTTTTAATCAGAATTGCACAGTGTTACAGGTGTAACATGGGGGTGGAGAGAGAGGGGAAGAAGAAAGAGGAGGGGGATAAAACGATAATTTTTGGCTTATATTCATCCTTACGTTCAGCTTTATTTTAGCTTTGTCTGTATATTGGACAATAGATAGCAGTCTACTCCCAAATCTTTTCTGGATATTAACTGAGGCTCTGAACTATCATGAGTACAGTTAGGATTCTTTTTTCCTGAATATACTACCTTACACTTACTGTTCGGTGAATTTATACTTCTTTACGCTGAAGCTCAAGTTACAGGTTTCTCACTTTCACGGCCTCAAGAGGTTTCCTTTCAGTTTTTGCCCTATAGTTCTAGCATTGGAAGAACTTTCTGTTATCTCTCCACCAGATTTCACATTTCACTTCTTATCATTTATGGAAATATTAAATAAAATTCATCCCAATACTGGTTTATGAGGAACCTGACTCCATTCAGATGTCTTTATCCAGAGAAATACCCCCACGTTTTTCTTCCTGAGTCCTCTACATGAATGAATGAATGAATGGTTGAAAAAAAATTTTTATTTCAAAAAATTTTTATTGATGTCTTTTTTTAATGTGACCAAAATTTTCCTCTTCTTCTCCCATAAAGTCATCAATATAACAAATAATAATTTTAAAGAAACAAAAAAAATCAGCAAAACTTTAAAGTGTATTTTAAAAAAGTCTGAAAACATATGTATTGTGCCACACCTATGGACCTTCTACCTCTGTAAAGGAATGGAGATGGGGATGTTTTCTCATACCTCTTCTTTGAACCCATGCTTATTCTTTGTAATTTTGCAACATTCACTCTTGATTGTTTTGTCCTTTCTATTTACATAGTTATCATTCTGAATATTTTTTCCTTGGCTCTGCTTACTTATTTGGCATCAGATCTTGTAAATCCATGCTTTTCTGTATTCATCATGTTTACAGTTTTTTACAATGCTCCATTATATTCGTATATAATAATTTGGTTAGCCATTTCCCAATCGATGGGCATTGACTTATTTTCCCCAGTCTTTTGCTGTAATAAGAAGTACTGGTTTTTCTTATCAGTGACCTCCTTGGGATATATACCTGGCAGTCTCTGGGTCTCTGGATATGGACATTTTAGTCCCTGTATATGCATAATTCTGAATTGTTTTCCACAGCAGTTGTGCTGATTCACAGAAAAAGCATTCTCACCTGGCTGTACCACTTTGAGACTGCTCTGACTTTTCCATCATGTCTCCCTCATCTATTTACCTTCCCAGGTTGCCCCCATTCCCTTTTCAGCTTTTTCTGCATGTGTTGGCTTTCCATTAGACTCTAAACTCCTCAAGAACAGGGACTGTCTTTATTCATAGTTGTCAGCACAGTGCCTTTCATATAATAGATACTTAATAAATGTTTATTGGCATACTATGTGCCAAACACTGCCAAACAAGTGCTAGGGATGCATTTTTTTTTTAAGAGAGAGTCTCAGCTCTTGAGTTTATATTTTAATTTGGGGGAGACAACATATATAAAAAGTTCAACTTCAGGTCCAAAGTTGTCCTAAGGGTGCAATAGCAGGGCAGGTAGCAAAGCCCAGGGATCTTTAGGATGTACTATCGGGTCATATGACAGTGCCCAAGGGACTGGAGGACATAGCAGTAGCACAGATGTTAAGATTGGCACTAAGGCCTAGTGGTCCTTCCATCTCAGTGGAAGTCTTGTAGTTAGTCTTGGGTAGACTCATCCAAAAGGTTTAAACAACCATATTCTTCTACCCTGGGGTCTTGGCAGCCTGGATTTGAGGAGCGATGAAGATAAAAAGAAGGGGGAAGAGCCTCTGCTACTGATTCTTCCATCCATTGGAGTCTGGACAGCCTGGGAGGATAAACATAACAAAACAATGCATTGCTTAATATTTTTCAGTGTGAAATCTTGTCAGAAAATTTGAAAATCCAGATACGTTTTGTTCACGGATTTACTTTTATCCACAGCTTATTTCCTCCGTCTAAGAACTGAAATAGGTAAATTAAATATTGGCATAGATGATCCAGCACTTGCCATTCCCTGGCTTTGGAGTCAGAAGACCTGGGTCATAATCATAGCTCCTTTAGGACATATTAGTTGTTTGATCTTGGGCAAATCAGTTTCTTTTTCCTCATTGATAAAATAAGATTGAAATAGATCTCTAAAATTTCATCTATCACGATATCCTATGATTTTTTAATTCAGCCAGGTAATACAAAAATATTGACCTGAATAGCTATAATATGTCAATTGTCTAATAAAACACAAAGTAAAATACATTTACAGTGAAATCATTGTTTTCATGATAAAACGTGTAAACCATTGTTGCATACACAGTAGGCGGTCAAATAAATACTTAATTCACTGACTTGAACAACCTTTTTTACATGGCCCATTTATATAACTCCATACTATGTATTTTGGCAGGAGAACCACTATTTAACATTTATTAAGGGCTGCCTATAGTTAATTCCTCATTAATTCAGACTACACTAATTTAGAAGTTTATGTTAATTCAGATAATACTTGGAAATCCTGCCACTTCCTCATGTTATTCCGGTGCCTCAGTATATCTATCTTTTGTTGATGTGATTATTCCTGCCAGTGACACACACATTGCAACCAAATCATTCCTGCTTGTCTGTCCTATGGAGCTCTTGTCTCTATCCTCCCATAAATTCACCACAGGGGGCCTGTAACTAAGCTACAATGAGGCAGGTATGCGCCCAGTCTGCATTTGCAATGCCAGGAACAGCTCTGGATGTAGAGAAAACTACTTGACCTTTACCTGACTGGTTTGTCTGTTAGAGTGCAGGGAGACCAGACAGCATTGGAAATTCTCACAAGTTATCCTTACTGAATGCTTGGTGGTCTTACCCATTATTTTTGATTCTGCTAACTTCCATCACTGAGCCTAATTTCTGCCAGACTGCTTTTCTTGTTTTCCCAGAAGTTTTTATCAAATAGGGTGTTTTTCCTTAGGTAACTTATATTTTCTGTTTTATCACACACCTGGGTTATTGGGTTCTATTATTTCTGACTCTCCCTTGTCTAGTCTGTTCCATTGATCTTTCTGCAATACCAGATGGTTATGATGACTTGCTTTATAATGTAGTTTGAGATCTGGAAGTGCTAGTTCCCCCTTCATCCTTCTTTTCATCATTTCCCTTGATATTCTAGATCTTTTGTTTTTTCCAAATGAATTTTGTTATTATTTTATCAAGCTCTATAAAGTTTCCTGTTGGTTATTTGATTGGTATAGCATTAAAAGTATAAATTAATTTTGATAGTGTTGTCATTTTCATTATATTGGCATGCCCTAACCATGAATACTGAATATCCTTCCAGCTTTTTAGGTTGTTCTTTAATTCTTTTTTTTTTTTTTGGTGAGGCAGTCAGGGTTAAGTGACTTGTCCAGGGTCACACAGCTGGTAAGTGTCACATGTCTGAGGTTGCATTTGAACTCAGGTCCTCCTGACTCCAAGACCAGAGCTCTATCCGCAGCACCACCTAGCTGCCCCTGTTCTTTAATTCTTCAACGGAATGCTTCATAATTGAATGTATATAAGTCTTTTACATTCTTTGGGAGGTTGATACCCAGATATTTTATGCATTTTGTATTTATTTGGAATGGAATTTTCCTTTCTATTATATCGTCTTGTGTTTTGTCACATACACATATACACATACATACGTATTTGTGTGTGTACATGTATATAATATATATGTATAAAAGGTTGATTTTTGAGGATTTATTTTGTTGCCTGAAACTTTGCTGAAGCTATTAGTATTTTTGTTGATTTCCTGCGGTTTTATCTCCTCTATACCTGTCTTTATTCCTTTAATTCCTTTTTCTTGTCTTATTGCTATTGCTATACTCCCAGTGCTATATCAAATAATAATGAGGAGAGTGGGTATCCTTACTTCACTCCTGTATTTACTGGAAAAGGTTCCAGTGTATCCCTGTTGCATATGATATTTAAAAAAAGGTCCTTCTATGCCTGTACTCTTAGGGTTTTTAGCATAAAAGAATGTTGAACCTTGTCAGAGGCTTTTTCTGCGTCTATTGAGATGATCATGTGGCTTGGGATGTTTTGGGTTATGATTAGTTATGTTGATTGTTTTCCTAGTGTTGAATCATCCTTGCATCCTTGATATAAATGGGGGAGAAGAGGGGAGCTCCAAGGAATTTGACTGTATAACTGTGAAATGTCCCTTCTAGCTACAAATCCTACACTACAAAATTATGGCTAATTAGAAATTCCTTGTTTTTCTGACTGTTTTTGAAGCTTCTCCTTTTTCTAGCTCATCAGTATCATTCTGCTTTTAAGTAAAATAATGTTACAAAAATTCAGTTCACATTGATTTTACCTTAAATTTAATGAGTAAATCCAGAAATTGAAGGCAAATTTAAAGAATCTTTACATCCTTGAAAATAATCTTCTGCACTTGAGAAAAGGGCACCTGATCATAGAATTTGTTTTACTTTTAAGTGTCACCCTAAAAATGTGTGGAGAAAGAAGTTTTTCATTTTTCAAAATTCATTATCATATCTGAATTAACATAAACTTATAAATTAGTATGGTCTGAATTAATGAGGACTTAACTGTAGGCAGCCCTTAATAAATATTAAATAGTGGTTCTCTTGCCAAAATATATAGTATGGAATTTGATAAATGGGCCATGTAGAAAAGGTGGTTCAAGTCAATCAGTTAAGTATGTATTTGACCGCCTATTGTGTGTTTAACAATAGTTTCTATGTTTTATCATGAAAACAATGATTTCGTTGTAAATATATTTGACTTTATGTTTTATTAGAAAGTGGATGTATTATAGCTATTCAGGTCAACATTTTTGTATTACTTTATTGAATTCTTAACATATTGCCATCTTCTTTCGTTCTAGGGAGATTCAGGATGAGGAACTAAAGAAATTCTGTTCACGTATAACGGGACTGCTTCAAAAGGAAGACTTTGGAAATGAGACCATTGACTGTCTGCAAAGACTTTTCCTCATTGTCTCAGCCACAAAATATTCTAGGAAGTGAGTAAAAATAGCCAATATTCTCCCTACCTCACCAGATAATATATAAAGCATTTATTGATCTCACTGCTGTCAGTTTTCAGAAATTATACCACCCTTAAGTCATTTTTCTTTCCTTTTCCTCTGAATCCTCTGGTGCAACACTGAACAAGTCATTTCTTATAGTATTTGAAGATGCCTGTTATATCTCCCCTTAGTATTCTCTTTTTCATTCTAAATCCCTCCCAGTTATTTCAAATACTCCTTTTATGACATGTTTTCCAGAACCTTTGTCATCCTGCAAGGTAGGTGCTATACCCCATTTCACAGTTGAGGAACATTTGGGTTTCAAGGCAGTAAGTCAGTTAGGTCTTTTTGTCTTCAGTGATTTATTTCTTCTCCCCAAAAGTGGCTTATTTCTTTTCTCAAACTAATCATTATAGTGAGTGATCAAGAATCCTGAGTATGTGAAAGCCATATAAAGTTAATGTCCAAGGGATCATCACCAGTCTTAGTTTGTGATGTAGGTTAGTATCTGAGTTCTCTGAAATAGAGAGTACAAGCATTAGTTTCAATTTGACATGGTTATGTTTTTACAGACTTGAAAAGAAATTTGTGGAGCTGTTGCTGTCAGCATTGTATTTTCCAAAATCCCCTGAACAGGTTCAGGTTCTCTGTGCTGCAATCGTGAGGGAAATATCACCTTCCGAGAACTTGACATTGTCTCATGACCACATCCAAAATATAAAGCTATTAAGCCTGGTGTCATCAATCCTGTTGGCTCAGGTAACTTGAACTAGTGTTATTGTTACTTTTCTTTCTGCATCTAGTCCTTCTGCCTAGTCATATTTTGTTCCATTTTATTTTAGAGCACAAGATGAGAAGTTAGATTCTCTTCCCTGCCTGTTCCATTAGTCATGAAACCTCTTATGCCTCCCACTCCTATGAAATCGGTATTTCTCTTTGCTGGATTGAGGTTAATAAAGTAACATTGTCTGTGCAGCTTTTGGAGGATCCATGAAGGAAGGAATGAAACATATATAAATGGTGGTGTGCTACCTATGACCCTACTGTGAATCTTAGAACTAGACAACCCCCATGAATTAGCAAGGCTAGTTCTGCAAATTTTTCTAAACTACAAATTGCTTAATGTTAGCAGTAATCAATAGTGAGAATTTTTATTTAAAAGGTACTCTTTATATGGTGAATTATACAAGAAGGACAATAACTTATGTTTTTGGTGAGTCCATTTAAAAACAGTTTTTGTGTATAGTGAGTATTTATTAAAATGCAGATATTTAAATAAACTGTTACTGTAACTTAAAGTTAATTCTTCAGTGATCCTATGCATAATAACCTAAGCTATTTAATTTAATTATGATAATATGATCTTATATCCTATGCTTTCTTAATACATCTAAGGAAATTTTTAAACTTTGATTTTATCAAGTAATTTAAAATACTTTAAAAGATGAACCTCCTCTCTCAATCTTTCCCTCTAGCACCTTTTCCCACAGGAGATCAATGGTTAAGTTCAGTGAGCCGTACAAATGACTCGGCCTTCTGGAATAGTGGTCTAACTTCCCTACTCTTCATTGCTACTTACACTGCATAGAAAGAGCTAGAAATGTCTGTGGTTTTAGGAGGGGGAAAGAGATTATTTTTTGTATCCTTTAGGCTGTTAGGGCTTTTTGGATGTTGTTCCAAGACCTACTTAGAAGCAGAAAACTGTTTTTACAGCAGGTGGCGCCAGAGGTTAGTACTGGCTAAGAAAGATTGAAATTAACTCATCAGGGAAATAGGAGCTGTAACTCCATTTGGGATTCACTTTCCATAATAAATTCTCTTTTGAGCTATGTGGATTAGTCAGTCTTCTGTACATACTTCTACTTAAGCAAGTTCTAAATCACTTGGCAAATTGACCCTGAAGAGTCATGGGAAGATTATATAGTAAGAATGGTACATAAGACTTGTTTTTTATAACCCATATCTAGGTTTGAGCTGTGGTTAGCTACAAATGTGTGGATCCTACAGCATCTAGTAGAGTACCTCACTAGTTGTTCTGTTACTTGCTTTTTCAGGTTTTAAAGCCATTTTATTTATGTTTTTAAAATAGTGCATTCTAATGATTAAAATAAACAAAAAGCCCCTCAAAACTATGACACTCTGATTGATTTTGTTTTTTAACTTTCCAGTACCTCAGTAGAACTTTGCTCTTAGTCTCTGTTAATTTAGATTTATTATGCTTTCATCTAGGTTCTTCTTTTATTCATCAAGCTCTTCATATTACCAAGACTAAAATTAGGCAGGCAGTTTATCTTCATTCAGTATTAGTAATTCTTTTCTAAAAACTTCATCCAGGCTATTTAGAACTTTTTATATTTGATAGCTAAAAGAAATAAATAAGAAGGTGGTGCTTGTGAAGTGTATTGTAGTTGGGAGGATGGATTTCATTACTCTTCATTTTTTCCTTCTGTTTAGTTTCTCTTGAAAGCATTGGACTTTTATATTTCTGTGTCCTTCAGTATAGCCTTATCAAATCTTTGAATTTCAGGCATTTTTGCAGATCAAAAGCTTTTATGGGCAGGGCACAGGAAGTGACGTAGGTCTCCAAAGTGGCTGCTCTGGCATGTCACTTCACAGATTTTTGTTGGCCTTTTGCTTTAGAGAAAGATTATTGAAATATTGATACAGGGGAAAGTTATTTGATCCTTCTGGTATTAACTTTTGAAGCGTTTGGCATCTGTCTTCTCATGAAGCTGAAGGTCACACTTTATCTAGCCATTCAATATGATTCCAACTTTGGCCCTCATTTTCACCTGCATCTAAAAATGGATAGTATCTTAAATCCCATCTTAAAGTTATATGGCCCCAAATAGTAGCATTTACAATATTTTATCCTAGGCTATTCTTTGGAATTACTCCATTAAAGCATTGATTTTCTTCCGTTAGCTTTTTCCTTGGTGCCTAACAAAGATAGACTCCTATTTCTTGCTCTTGGGACACCAGAGCTACTTTCCACCTAGAATTACAATTGCCTTCAAATGCAAAGTAGCACCAAATTGCTAATGTATTTCTTTTCAAACTGCAGCTTTTTCTTTGGGGTAGCTTTCTTATAAAAAGTGAGATTGACTCATTGATAGAGTGGGTTGTGACCTTCTGCTTGCCCTGTGCAGCTGGGACTATTGTAATTATTCCGCAGGAAGTGATCCCTGTGGCCTTCTGGTTTTCATGTGTGTTGATTGCTTGTCCTTTTCTCCTAATGACCTTTTTTCTTATGATGCTGCAGGCTCCAGCAGAGAAGATCTTGAGGGACATATATGTTTATCATAATGATATAGGCAGTTTTGTGAACAGATAGGAAGGTGTAGCAGTTGTTTGAAGCCATGAGGACAGGGAAATACATCTCCTTTTAATTTGTGTTTGATTTGAAGGGTGATAAAAGGAATGAGGTGAGAGACGTGGGACTGCGAGTTACAAAAGTCTTTGAAGGTCGACAGCCTGAGGGACAGAGCTTAAGATACCTCCTGCCTGTCTTATCAAAGGTCATTACCCTCTCACCAAAAGTCCTCAAGGAAGGTAAAAATGGATTCTCTGTGTGGTGACACTTTTCCTTCCATAATTTTTTTGGTGCTGGTTATTGTAGAGTAAAAGGAAAGCTGTTGTGCGTTTGAACCCTTTTAATGAAAAGTCTGAGTTATCAAATATACATACAGAGTACCAAAGAACATAAATTGTGGTGAATGTATTAAGATTATATTAACAGTCTTTTTCAGCTTGTGCCATTTTTTAAGGGAAGGATGTGAAAATTCAGAAACGGTTAATTATAATTTGATTGAAATAGTTTTTTTCCTTCTGAGAACAGTTTTTAACAGGTTCTGGTTTATCTCATAAATCTCTGTTTAGGATGAAATTATTATGTAACTGATAGATTTCCTCTATTTTTCCTTCCTCTGCCCCCCACCCTGGTAGACCAGATAAATCTCCTCAACAAAAGGCTAATTGACTGGCTTCGTTATGCAAGTATCCAGCAAGGAATTGCACAGACATCTGGAGGTTTCTTCTCTAATCCCTGGGCAAGACAGGTAGGTCATGGTGGTCTCAGAGTCTAAATGTGTGATAATTGAATATCCATGGGAACCTCTCTCTTATATCCCTTTATGAGTCCCTGAGCCCAGGATGCCTAGGATAGCTTAGTGTTATTAAGTTAAAATTTTTAGTTTTTTAAATTGATAGAGATTATATTGCTCTGTCATCTTGTCTTGCCACTGTTTGAGAGTTGATATATCTACTATCACTGAGACTCAGTAACTTAGAGAAATCAAATACTAACTACAACTCTGGATTGTATTTTTTTTTTTAATTTAAAGTTTTGAGTTCCAAATTTTATCCCTCCCTCCTCCCTGAGAGGGTAAGCAGCCAGATATAGGTTGTACATGTGTAGTTATGTAAAACATTTTGTACAAGAAGACTTGAATAAAAGGAAAAAAAATGAAAGAAAATGATAAATAGCATGCTTCAGTCTATATCAATATCAATTCTTCAATCAATATCAGTTCTTTCTCTGGAGGTGGATAGTATGCTTCATCATTACTCCTTTGGGATTGTCTTGGATCATTGTATTGCTGAGAATAGCTAAGTCATTCACAGTTCTTCATCGAACAGTACTGCTTTTACTGTGTACATCATTTTCCTGGTTCTGTTCACTTCACTATGTATCAGTTCATGTAAGTCTTTCCGGGTTTTTCTGAAATCATCTTGCTTGTCATGTCTTACAGCACAATGTTATTTGATTACAATCATATACCACAGCTTGTTTAGTTATTCCCCAATTGATGGATATCCCTTTGATTTCCAATTCTTAGCCACCACAGTAAGAGCTGCTATAAATATTTTTGTACAAATAGGTTCTTTTCCCTTTTTTTTTTGATATCTTTGGAATATAGACCTAGCAGTGGTATTGCTGGATCAAAGGGGATGCACAGTTTTATAGCCCTTTGGGTATAGTCCCAAATTGCTCTCCAGAATGGTTGGATCAGTTCACAACTCCACCACCAATGCATTTGTGTCCCAGTTTGATCATATTCCCTCCAGCATCTAACATTTTCCTTTGTCATATTAGCCAATCTGATAGGTGTGAGGTGGTACCTCAGAGTTGCTTTATTTTATATTTCTCTAAACAATAATGATTTAGAGCATTTTTTCATGTAACTATAGATAGCTTGTTTTCTTTATCTGAAAACTGCCTGTTCATATCCTTTGACCATTTATTAATTAGGGAATGACATGTATTTTTTATAAATTTGACTCAGTTCTCTACGTATTTGAGAAATGAGGTCTTTATCAGACATACTTGTTACACGAATTTTTTCCTAGCTTTCTGCTTTCCTTATAATTTTGGTTGCATTTGGTTGCAAAATTGAATTTGTTTGTGCAAAATCTTTTTAATTTTATATAGTCAAAATTATCTATTTTACATTTTGTAATGCTCTCTATTTTGTCTTTGGTCTTAAATTCTTCCCTTATCCATAAATCTGACAGATAAACTATTCCATGCTCTCTTAATTTACTTGCAGTATCAGCCGTTTTTCTTCTGCTTCTCCAGTTCACTGTTTAGAATCCTTTTTAAGTTCTTCCAGGAATTCTTTATGGGTCTGAGACCAAATTACATTTTTCTTTGAGGATGTACATGTAGCCATTTTGACACTATTGTCGTCTTCTAAGTTTGTCTTGATCCTCCCTATCACCACAGTAACTTCTATAGTCAAGCTCTCTTTTTTTTTTTTTTGCATGGTTTTTTGCTTCTCTTTCAGGCTTTTTTTTTTTTTTTTTTTGGTGACTTGATGTTTTTAACGTGAGAGTTCAGTTCTGGTTCCAGTACTGTCCCAAGCTTCTTGTTCTGTGGCTCCAGGTTTTACTGCTGGCTTTCACTGGACTTCCAGGATTTAGGCTTCCCTTCTAACTTTAACTTGGGGGGTGGGACCTCCCTGTTGGCCTCCCCTGGGTGTGGGGTTTAGCTGCTGGCCTGTTCCAGGGGTGGGGCCTTGCTGTTAGGTTGCTATGGTAACAGAGTCTTTCTGGTGGTTAGTCCTTTCTTGCTAGGCTGGTAAGCTGCTTCCCTGCTCATAGACCAATTCTGATGTGGTTTTCTAGTTGTTTGGAGGGGAATTTGGAGGACTTCAGAGGGTTCCTACATCACTCTGCCATCTTGGCACCTGAAATCCAGGATTGTATTTTAAATCTCTACTAACAGCATGATTTTTTTTTTTTTTTTTTTTTTTTTTGGCTCTGGACCTAAAGGTCAAGTTATCATAATTATTCTAGTTGGAAGGCAATTTGTAAATATTGTTTTTCTTATCTATATCTAGAAGATGAGTGACCAATATACAAGGAATAAGTTTTCATTAACAATAAGAATGAAGAATAAGATAGAAACAAAACTTATTCCTTGCACAACTGAAGATTCTGTTATTCCCACTCTTGCTTTCATGTTGCTCTAGGATTATGCCTTTTTAGATATTTGGTTAGCATGTAATCTGTTAAATGCTACTTGAGTTTTTCTTATCTAAACTCTTTGTTCCTTATATTGACTAACTAACCATCTGTGAATGCCACTTGGGAGATTTTGTAACTTTCTCTCTCTTTTCCTTGTATCCTACAGCCTGGCCCCATCACTGAGGTAGATGGTGCAGTTGCTACAGACTTCTTCACTGTACTTTCCGTAGGCCAGCACTACACGGAAGATCAGTGGCTGAACATGCAGGCCTTCTCTATGTTGCGTAAATGGCTGCTATATAGTGGGAATGATGGAACAGACAGTCCAGATTCAGGTACTGGCTTTGCGTGTCCCTAAGGATAAGGATGATGTCCTCGTCAGAAGCCTAGCATTGATATCAGACTGTAAAGGAAATAAAATTTGCATTATTGATGATCTCTTATATGGTTAACATTTGGTAGCTTCTTCTGAAAGATTAGTAAAATAGTAGTATTTGTTTGAGAACTGGAGGGTATCAGCAATTTGCAAAACTGGCCTTTATGAAGTATTCTTAATCAGGTTAATGAGTGACACTGGTTGAAGATATGTTGTACTCTTTGGTGTGTAGCATATGATTTGATGAAAATATGTAACCCAGCCTTTAGATCCAGAGGTTCAAGTTTGAGAGAAAATTTGAACCCTACTATGTGGTTGGGCCAAGGTTTTATGAAGAATGTCAGAAATGTATTATAGTTAGAGGAAGAAACACCAAAAGGTGGCTTCTTTTTGTTTGGTGATTGTGACAGTCACTGAATTCTTTTGGAAACTTGATAGATCTTAGCTTTTTGCCTCATTAGTTTCCATGTGTTGTCTCTTTAAATTGGTAGTTTGTATTTCCCTGGCTGAGGATATGAGTGGAGTCGATTACTAATACTGTGGCATCTGTGTTCTTTTTTCCCCAGCAGATGATAAATCAGAGCTAGAGGGTTCTATTATGTCGATGGTCTCTGCTACCTCTACCTCTAGTCGCCTACTTCCCCCAAAGGAGCGCCTGCGAGAGAATGCCTTTGAGTACTGCCAGAGACTCATTGAGCAGAGTAATCGGAGTGAGTTGTGTTCTCATGTTTTCAGACAGTTCTTCCCTAATGAAACATAAAAGTTTATGACCTCTTTGGAACTTGTAGTTTTGTCCAAGAGGAGCTTCCCAGGGCTCATACTTTTGGACTGGATTTTAAATCTGATGATTCTCCACAAGTCAAATATTAGGGGAAGCAAATTATTTTAGTTCCGGATATGTCATTAAAGCTGGTCAAAGGAGATCTTAAATCACCTTGTAGCTATAGTGATTCTGTTACATGTGGGGCCCATAAAGAACACTGTACTGAAAATAAACATAACCAGTGTTCTTAAGATGCTAGCATTTCAGAAGCCTTTAAGCAAGGATATATAAACATCTTCAGAGAGGGTGATACATTCTTTACATTTAGATGTACATGTATGTTTCTTTTTAACGAGTAGACAGGGATAGGGGAGGAACTCTACTTATTGATAACAGTGCACTGCATAAGTTTAGTTTTGTTTTTCAAGGAAAATAAGTTAAAAACCCCAAGGGGCAAAATTGTGGATAATGAGTTTTGTTTCCTATCTTCCCCTGAGTCCTATTCCTGATTCTTTCTAGGAAACCACCTATGTGAATGAAGTGTGATGCAAGAGTTGTCACTGTCCCCAGACTCCATAATCTGTCTTTACCACATGCCTTTCAACTTTCAGCTTCTAGAAGAGACTATATATTTAGAAGGTTTAAAAAATTTAGGATGAATTCTTATATTTTAATCATTTAGCATACTGAGAGCTGAGATTCTCCATTCATTGAAGAATTAATATTCTCATTTTCCATGAATGATTTAGAGGAAATAAATGAGCTTAATTTGTACCTTTCAATCAGGAGCCCTGAAGAAACCAGACCATGAGTTGCAAAAAGCTGTAAGTATCCTTAAAGGTGGGTAGGGTCAGGGAAGGGAGACTAAAGTCATGCTCATTCTGCTCTGACGAGGGTCCTCTGTTCTTACACAGTGTCTGGTTGAAGCTGTGATCATGTTGGATCTCCTGTGTAGGCAGGATTCCTCCTTCATCTACCGGACTCTCTCTTGTCTAAAGATCTTACATGGGCGGCTTTGTGGAGACCCAACTTATGTTCGAGCACTGTTGCCAGTTGCCCAGTTCTTCCTGAATCACAGTGAGATATTTTGCTCTTCTTTTTAACCTAATTTTGTATGGTCTTTGCTCAGGATGGCTAACCCATGGCTTTTCAGAGCTTCATGTGTGTCCTTTGAAGTAGGCATGAATAAAAATTGGCCATTATGAATTACCCTGGTGGTATGATAAAAATGCATCCTTTGAACAGCCTAAAATAATAGGTTGAAACAAGAATCAACGAGCAATAAAGAAAATGTTTTTTATACTAATGGCATTTTAGAAATCTATATTAAAAACCCCTTTATGATGGTGCATTCTGACTCCTTGATCACATTGGTCAGGCTTAGTATAGGCTTAGATTGTTGAGCCCTGTCTCACCTGCCTTGGCCCCATTTCTTTAAGAATTTGGAGTCTTTATCTACTTGATTACTTTAGCTGTCTCACTTACTGAGAATGACAAGGCTCAGAGTACTGAAATGATCCCATAGAAGCCTTAGTTTCCCAAAATGTGGTGGGAACAAACCTTGGCTTGTGTTTTTATCCTACCCATGGCACTGACTCACTCTATCCTTTGGTATTAGGCATTTATTATATGCCGGGTGATGAGGATACAAAGAAAAAATTGAAACAGTCCTTGTACCCAAGAGTTTATATTCTATCTGGGCAGAGAATAAGTACCTATATAGGTAAATACAATTTAGGTACAGGGTGATTTTGAGAAAAGAGGGTACTAGCAGTAGCTGGTGGGATGGTACATGGGGAGGGGTAGGCCAGGAAAAGCCTCATGTAGTAGGATGAACGTGAAATGAATCTTGAAGGAGACTAGGAATTTCAAGAGGTGGAAATGAGGGTGCATTTGGTCCACTGCATTTCAGGCATGGGAAAGGGCTACTACAAAATTGTAGAGACAAGACATGGGATATTAAGAAGGCCAAATTGACTGGACCATGGCATCTCTGTGTCTTTGAAGCTTCGTTCTATCTAAGGCATGTTCTGTTTATAGAGTTAGAGCTAGAAAGGACCATGGAGATCATCCATTCTAATTTCCTCATTTTACAGATGAGGAAACTGAGCCCTAGAGAAAACTACCACCAAAATGAACATCCTGCTGACTACTTTATTATGAAGAACAGGGAACATTTAACACATTCAGCTCTTACCTGCTGCATGTAGCAGATACATAGATAGTTACATCTCCTATTTAAGCACAGCTGGATTTGAAAATGCCTGTGTTGCCAGAGTGAAGAATGATTTCCAGAATTTTCAGATACTTCAGTTCCCTTTTTAAAAAAAAACCCCAAAACCACACCCTTCTTGCCTGTTTATTGTTTAAAAAGAAAAGTTTTCCTTGCATGTTATATTGGCTTTTCTTAATTTCAGAAATATTATAGTAGTACTGCTTTTTTTCTATAACCCTTTAATGTATGTACTGCTCTGCTGTCATACTGGCCAGTCTTCTAAAAGCTAAGGCAATCAAGATGTAACTGTTCTTTAACTTTGGTTTGTCACGATGATCCCTAAACAGTACATCTACAATGGCAAATAAGATGTTAGAGCTGGAAGGAATCTTAGAACACTACCCAGTCCAATCCACTCCAGTACAGATGCACAGCTACCTTACAGATGCAGGAACTGAGGCTCAGACAAGTAAAATGAGTTGTCAAAGAGTAACAGCTAAGAAGCAGCCCTGAGAAGGTGATTTGCCCAAAATCATTGGCTCAAAATTCACCACTTGGTCTGATATATTCTCCCAGGTGAAGCAGCAGCAGTTGATTCAGAAGCAGTTTATCAGCATTTGTTTACCAATATCCCTTCAGAGTTATTCTACAACTCAATGCTGGCCTTTGAGTTCATCCAGTTCTGCAGGGAAAACATCCACTTTTTCAATGGAAACCTCAGCATCTTCAGATCAAACTTCCCAAACCTCTTCAAGGTATGCTGATGTGTTCTAATCCCCCTTTTGTTGAACCAGGGCCTGCAAAGAACAGGAACCTTTCAGGCTAAAACCAAGGGTGTAAGTTGCACTATTATTCTTCATTAACTTTTATAAGTGACATGTTCAATGCTTATGGTTTTGAAGTAGGTAAGTATTCTGGTTTGGTTTTGTTTTGTTTGTTTTTTGGCTAGGCAATGGGGCTAAGTGACTTGCCCAAGGTCACACAGCTAGCAAGTGTTTTGTGTCTGAGGCCGGATTTGAATTCAGGTCCTCCTGAGTCCAGGGCCGGTGCTCTATCCACTGCGCCACCTAGCTGCCCCCTTTTGTTTTGTTTTTGTAGGTAAGTATTCTGAATGTATGTTTATAAACATGGGTGACCAGGACCCCAGATTCCATATATAAATTAAGAGATGATTCATTTTGCAGAATTATTTACAGTATAATTTGAATAGAAAACTTCCTTAATGTGTTTAAGATATAAATTGCATACCATACTCTTTGGAATTTACTGCACAAAGAGAAGTATACCTGTATAACCTTTTTTTTTTTTTAAATCCAAACAGCTTGTATGTATTTTCACTGAGATTTTTTCACCTAGACAGTTTTATTGAGGATAGAGGTCCACTTTTTAGATATAGTTGGAGTGGTTAAGTGACTTATCTAAAGTAATCCAATCAGTCAGTTGTATGCCAAGCTACCACCTATGTATAAATCCTAATGACTTAGTTTGCAGGATGAGACTAGAACTATGAATGTTCATCCTATGCTAAAAATCCCAACCAGTCTTGTTCTTTTCTACTAGTTCCTGGCATGGAACAGTGCGTCCTTGATCTCAGAATTTGTGGATATCCTTCCTGTTTTCATTAATGCCAGTACAGCCATTGAGATACTGCATGTCCTCCTTGACCTGCCGTGCTTGACTGCTGCCCTAGATCTGTATCTTAGGTGAGTCCAGATCTCTGCTTCCTTGTTTCTAGGAACATCCTGTCAGGTGAAACTTCACTGTTTTTACTTTAACTCCATAATAATAATAATAATACTAAGAAAAATGATCGTTTGGGCAACTAGAAGATTTTTGGGTTGGACTTACCCTCCTTTGCTAGTGCTGCCGTAGAAAGTGAAATTGGACCTTTTTTCCTGCTTTATTTCTGTTAGGTTTTCATGGATTATGATTGCTGAAACAAGTGAGATTTTTGCTGCCTTAAGGAGTAGCATCTTAGCCACTTCAGCAGAACAGAGGGTTAGAATCACCTCCTGAGGAAGCAGCAAATATGAGGTATAGGAAATGTTACAGTTTGGCTGGCTGAAGGCAGATTTGCTATTCAGTAGCCCCTGTATGCAGACTTTTTATTAAATTGATGGTGCTATGTCACCTCTTAATTCAACAAGCTGCAATATTTATTAAACATATTCTATATGTTAGGCATTACGTTAAGGACACAGACAAAAACAAAGCAGCAATCCCTGCTCTCAAAGAGCCATGGGAGGCGGGGAGGGGGCAGGGGAGTGGGGCTGGGGATGAACCCAGATAAGCAAATACAAAACATACAAAGTAATTAATTGCAAAATAACCTGTGGGGTGGGGAGGGAGAGAACACTAGCAATTTTGGGGCATCAGGAAAGGCCCTGAGTATTATCTGGCACTCGAATGAAGTTTTGAAGGGAGTGGAGGATTCTAAGTAGCAGAGATGAGGAAGGACATTCATGGAGGCAAGCAATAAATGTTTTACAGAGAATAGCCAATAGGCCAGTTTTGTTGGAATGCAAATGGGAGACGCACGAGGGAGAGTGATGTGAAATCCCCAAAAAAGTAGACTGAAGCCTGATCGTGAAAGGCTTTCTTAAATGCCAAATTGAGGACTTTGCATTTTATCACAGAGGTAGTAGAGATTCTTGAGCAAGAGAGTGACATGGTGGGACCATGGAGGATGAATCAGTGTAGTGAGAGGCTGGATGCAGGGTTACCAATTAGGAGGCTTTTCTTATAGTTTCAGGGAACATGTGATTGAGGCCTGGTCTATGGTGGCAGTGAGTAGAGAGAGAAGTGAGAGACTCAAGGTGTTATGGCAGTTGACTCAACAAGACGTGGCAACTGATTGCATATATCAAGAGTGAAGAGTTGAGAATCACTCCAAGGTTAAGAACCTGGGTAACTAGAAGGATCTATTACCTTTGACAGAAAAAGGCCGAGTTTACAGGGGAAAACTATGAATTCTGTTTTATTTGTATTGATCTTAGGTAGCTGGATGGCACAGTGTACTTGGGGTCTCAGACACTTATTAGCTGTGTGACCTTAGATGAGTCACTTAACCTCTCAGCCTGTTTTTTCTTCTGTAAATTGAAGATAATAAAATGAGGATAATAACCTACTTTGCAGGATTGATGTGAGAATCAAATGAGATAACATGTAATGTCCTTTGCAAACTTTTAAATCCTATATAAATGCTAGCTATTAGATGATACTTATGATTATAGGACATCAAAGTAGAGATATTCACAGCAAGTAGTTGGTGATATGGAACTAGTGCTCAGAAGAGAAGGGGTAGACATATAGATTTGAGAATCATCTGGGTAGAGATGATAATTGAACCCAAAGATGTTGACAGAATCAAAATAGGGACAAGAAAATATCCTGTGACAGAGGGCCTGGGTACATACACTCTTGCAAAGAGAGTGGGACACAGGTGATAGTTCAGCAAAGTTGGGAGGAGAGAGTAACTAAAAGGTTGATGAGGTCCAGAGCATGTAGCTTTTGGGGTCTACAAAGCAGCATCATACAATGGAATGTATGGCTCTAGAGTCAGACATCCTGGTTTCAAATCTCACCTCTCGATGCTTTCTTTGTGATTTTTGGGCAAGTCATTTAACCTTCCTGGTCCTCGGTTTCCTCATCTATAAAATGAAAAGATTGTGCCAGTTCTAGGTCTAATCCTGTCATCACTGGTAGCTTTGAAGGTACCTGTTTTCCATTGTGTGATGAGGTCAGAAACCAGATTGCAAGGGGTTGAAAAGTGAGTAAGATTTGAGGAAGTAGAAATCAGTGGAGGCAGCTGGTGGCTCAATGGATAGAATGCTGGGCCTGGAGTCAGGAAGACCCGAGTAGAAGTTCAGCCTCAGACACTACTCCACTGTAAAATGGGGATCATAACAGCACCTACCCAGCCTGATTGTTGTGATAACATTAGTAAAGCACTTAGCACAGTGCCTGGCACATAGCAGAAATTGTATAAATATGTATTCCCTTATTCTCTTCCTCAAAGATGAGAACAAAAGCAGAGGTAATGTTAAAAGGTATGGGGTATAGAATTGGGGAGGATCTCATGATGAATCACTTCTGTTCTCTTAGTAAAGTATGAGAGTGTTGGGCAAACGGTGCTGTAGGAGGCTCAAGGAGAAAAGACTTGGAATAGACACATCAGGGTAATAATAAAAGGATTCCCCTGTAGCAGTGAGGGCTCAGTTGAAATCGTGTAAAACAACTTTGTAGAGTATCCAGTCAGCACTGTTGTGTGACTTCTCCAGGGGCTCAGCAGCTTTTGAGTAGGAATGGATAAGGTGGATGGTGGGGGTTATCTAGGGTTGGGGCATGGAAAGGGATGAGCAATAATAATAGAACTACAAGTAGGCAAGGGATTTGAGGGTAGAAGACAGATACAGTTAATCTGGTTTTAACTATTGCATCAAGATTTAAGAGAAGAATATAAGGCCAGAGCAGGTAATGAGTAGGGAGTTGCGGTGAGAATTGGTATGATCCTATGACCATAGGCAGTGAAGTCTGCAAGGGAGATCCTTTTAAGATAGTTATAGTAATGACTTCCCAAAATTCTGGCAAGTAAAGAAGAGCTCATGACGTCAGACCGTATCCTCTTCTCTGGGATTTGGGTGTTTTTGTGTTTAGGTCATCATCTCCTACAACTGAGAAGCCTCTCTGGGATCCTACCCTAAAGCCCACCAGCTGCTTGGATGGTTTCCGAGATCCTCACTACAAGGCTCTCTTTCAGTACCTGCTGCGCACGAAAGCCAGGGGAATTATCAAGGGGTAAGACTGGCTACCTGGTTCATTTGTAGTGGTGTGAAAGTTCTTAGGGATAGTAATGGTGGTAGGGCCTTTCTTACCTGCAGTCTCATAAATGCTGGGATACATGAGGTTTAGGAAAATCTGTGCAGAAGAAAATTTTATCAGGGCTGCCAGACTAATATATCTAAGGAGAAATGTATTTATTTGTGTGGTGTCAGGAGGGGAGGAACTTGAGGAAGTTGACTGAAATGTTTGGGTCTGTATATCCTCTCTTGTCTTTATGGCTAAACTGTTTTCTGTGCTAAAAGAAAAAAATCAAGATGGTCTAAAAATATTTTAAACTATTAATATAAATTTTCTCTCTCTACCAACCCCTAAACCTCCTATATAAGCAGCAGAATTCACTTGACTTCTTTGATAATCCACAAATTATACCATTAGCCCCTTTTAATTCTTGTGAATATACATTTTTTAAAAAGAAGTGCAAGTCTGTGGGGAGCACTGGTTTGGAATGGAACTAGTTTTTAATTATGACTCACCTGTTATTGCAGGTCTGATATTGATTATTGCTCATAGGTTGACGCCACTCCATCAGCTACTGAAGCCCATGGCCAGTTGTTCACGAGTTGTGCAGTGTGCGGAGACTGTCCCCATTTTAATACAGCTTTTCTTTACAGTGGTGACTGAGGTAAGCCTCTTCTCACAGATGCTGTTTTTCTCCTCAGTTCTATGGCAGTCATATTAACTCCCCTTCTTAGTAACTTTCAGTGGCTTCTTATTACCCTGAGGAGTCTGGATTTCTCATCCTGGCATTCAGGACTCTTCACAATATAGTTTTAGTCTGCCTGCTCATCTCTGTTACAGTCTTGGGCTATTTGGTTTCCCACACATACTCTGCAGTTTCCTAACACAGTGTTTGGTTTATCTTCATTGACCTGAAATTTCTTTTCGGCTATATAGACCAGTTATTTTTTGAGTCTCATCTGAAATGCCTCTTCATTCATGAAGCCTTCCCTAATTACCTCAGTTGGAAATGATCTCTCTAATAGCCACAGCCCTTGAGGCCTCTCTTGAGCATTTATATTCTGGTCTGTATTATAATTACTTGCATACTTGTCTTACTCTCTAATTTGTTAGCTTTTGGGGGTCAGAAACTGCCTTTCTTGTCTTTGCACTTGGCATCCCAGTTTCCCCGTACATATTGTAGAGGAATCAAAGGATGAAGCAAACATTATTTTCAATATGGGTTGGCTTTTAAGTTACTAAAGGACAGGGGCTGTGTCACGTGTACATTCTGTACCATGTTTAGTTGATTGCAGGTGTTCATTGTGGCAATATTTAATTTCAGTTTGCAGATGGGACCCTGATAAACCAGCTGGTGGTGCTACTGTTGGAAAGAAGTGATTTGCTTTTTGATGTTCCACAGTTTAAAGCTGCCGTCCACAGGTAGGTGTCTCCTACTGTTCCTTTTGTCTCCTTACCTTAAATTTCCTGACTCCTTGTTACCTTTTTCAGGATTCTGTCCTTGACTTTGTTACACTTGCAGAGCTTATTCCTTCCAGAGATTTCAGCTATCCCTCTTCATAGTAATTCCTAGGTATTTCTGTATAGTTTTGATTTCACATTGCTTCCTATTCCACTTGGATTGTTATCTCAAACCCCTCATATACTTGCTCCCAACTTCCCTATTCCTATTAATGGTACTTCGATCATTCCTGTTTCCTAGACAAGCAAGTTTCTAGTGTTACACCACCAGTTCCTTCAGCCTCCACCTTCATAGCCTATTTTTTCCCGAATAAGTGTTTCTTGGGTTTGTCTCCCCTTCAATCATCATTCCAGCAAACAGCAACTAAAGGACTTTTTCCTTCACACCCAGGCAATAGCCTAACTAATTTCTCCTCCTTTACTTCATTGTAGTCCTGGAACTAAACTTTAATGAAGAATATTTTCATTGTTATTTCCTCTTTGCAAGAAACTACACTAATTTCTTGTTGCCTTAAAGAGCAAGTCTAAATTTTTTCATACTGCTTATCTAATTTAATATCTTATTATTCTCTGGCAAAAACTTGTTCCTATCAGCTGGTCTCACTGTCCTTTTCATATATACCATATTAATCCTTATCTTTGTGCTTTTTTCTTCATACTGAGTCTGGTATCAGAACATCTCAGTAGAAAAGCAGATCTTTTAATTTTTCATAAAGCACAGCTCATTCATGTACTTAACAGTAATTTGATCTAGAAAGCCAAGCTGGATGCCACCTCATATCACATAAGAAACTTCCATCACTGGAATCTAAGTAAATATTACTCTTGTTTCTATGGAAACAACTTATTGCCTTCATTTCAGCTGTAGATTGGTGCCCAAGAGAAAGAGTTGTCAGTTTTGTTTTGTGCTAGGCAATGGGGTTAAGTGACTTGCCCAGGGTCATACAGTTAGTGAGTGTTACATGTCTGAGGCCAGATTTGAACTCGGGTCCTCCTGATTCCAGGGCCGGTGCTGTATCCACTGCGCCACCTACTTGCCCCCATGGGTTGTTTGTTAGTTCTTTATGTTTACTTGTAGCTGGGATGACTATAGTTAGAATTTTAAGAAGTAGGAAGTAAGTAAGTTCTTTGTAAGAAAAGACCCAGCCTGTTAACAGGCTATTGGATAATAAATGTGCAAAATGCCCCAGAGGTCCTAAGGATCTAGTTTGTAATCATGTTTTGATTATGAATCATAGCTGTCCCACAGTTTGAGTAGCCCAGTTCATTCCCATCTTCTCCTGCACAAAATCACAAATCTAGATAGTTCCTTTGTTCGTTCTTTGTATGTTCACATATTTCATGGATTAAGCTTGGGGGGGGGGGAATATCCATAACCATAGAATGTGAGCATTGCCTTTTCTACTTTCATTTTTTAAAAATTCATTATATAAAACCAGGTATAGTTGCTTCAGTCCTGGAGTGAGGCAGTACAGAAAGTAGTAGGGAAAAAAAACCACAGGTAGGTGGTTATATAATACTACATCATATTACATTGAATTATATCAGATCGATATATAACATGATATTATATTATCATGGAAAGTTACATATTGGTCCATGGCAAAAGATTCCTTGCCTATAGCCTACTATTTTATGGAGCATAATGTTAACCTGAATAAATGTCTATTGATTGTGTAACCACTTCTTCCCTGGCAGAGTAATGAGTTCCCAGCTTCTGGTCCTGTGTAAACTACATCCTTCTCTTGTAGTTGAACTGTCTAAGGAACTACTGGAGTTCACAGGAACCATCAGCAATATCGACAGCAAGGAGAACATATTCACCAATGTGGTAAGGAACATGCTTAGCTGCTACTTACTTTTGCTTTTCCACTTTATTTGCCAGATAGTATTCTGTGGTGTTTTGGGAGAATACAGGCCATCTGAGTGGGTTATCTTAGAATCAAGGTTACTCATAATGGCTTTCTGTGTTTGGTTAAAGGTCTGGGCAGTTGGAGAATACCTGTCTGTGGTCTATGACAGGAGGTGCACTGTGGAGCTGATCAACAAATTCTTTGAAGCCCTAGAGGCCTTGCTGTTTGAAATTACCCAGTTTCGCCCCTCTGCTACGCTTCCCAAGTGCTGTCCACGAGTAATCACAGTTCTCATGACCACATTGACCAAACTAGTCTCCCGGAGTCAAGATTTGATTCCTAGGTACATCGTTAGAAAGTGGGAAAAAGAAATGTTAAGTTTTTGTGGGAAACGGTTTGTATGGTTCTTTCACTGCTAAAATGAACTGTTCCTTTACTAAAATTATGTCTTTGATATCTGCTCTGTGCCTCCATGACCTCCAGAGTGCCATAAATAACTCATTTTATCCCAGTTTCTCTGAGCAAAATCTGCTTTTGCAAGTGAGGTGCATCTCCTTAGATTGGACCCTAGAACAGAGGCTATTGGAAATAAGGAGAGCAGGAGTCTAACCCAGACTCCCCCACTAATTCACTGTATGATCTTAGGCACAATCTTTCTTGGCCTGAGTTTCCCCCTCTAAAATGAAATGGTTGTATAATGACTTCTAAAGCCCCTTTCAGTTCTTATAATTCTGTGATCTCTTATTTTTTTTCAGAGTTTTCTTGTTCCTGTCCAAGGTGAGATCTTTTGCTGAGAGTCCTGCTATGACCTCTGTGTACAGCGAGGAAGACACAGAGACTATCCTGACTAGGGCCACCGAGTTGATGAACTTATTGAAAATGCCAAGTGTGGCTCAGTTTGTCCTGACACCATCTGTAGAGGTGTCTAACCCACGTTATCACCTTGACACGAATACCTCCTTGCCTCTGGCCCTGAGGATGGTCAGTCAGCTAGTTGAGAAAGAGGCTGGCCTTCTGCCAGGGTGAGGTGCCGATGTGACCCGGTGCACGTTGGGGGACTCACATTTAGACCCTAGACTTGTATCGAGCTAAGCTTCTTACGGCAAGAGGTAAATCCAATGGGAAGACGTGACAGAAACATGAATCTAAGGAGGTACATATTATGGTTCTCTTCTCTTCAACCATAAATGTTTTATTTATATGTCCTTTCCTATTATGACTACACTGTGAGTAGTGCTGTTTTAAACAGACCCCAGATCTGTGGTCTCAGTTTTGGACTTGAGGATTGATTAAAATGATGCTATGCTCTCACTGGGGTTGGAGATGGGTTTTCGTAGAATCAAGGACTGTGCAATACTTATATGTCTAGGGAAACACATAGCGGACTCCTTTGGCAAGACAACAGTTGTCTGTTCACATTTGTTCACTGAGTAAAATCAGATTTCTTTGCAGTTAGTTTCTAAGCATATTAAAGTAGGTATTTTATTATATCCATTTTTTTCCACTTAAATCTTTAAATATAATACTCTTAAACAAATTTGCACCATTTAGTATTGTTACTTGTCAGATAAATACATAAAAAGATGTACAATATTAACAAGAATGAAGAAGTAAGTTTCTTGCTGGTGGTGACATCCAAGAATAGAATTTAACATTCCCCCCCTCCTATTTACATTAATAGAACATTTGATTCTAATAAACAAAGATGATAGAGCTCCTTTTGGAGAGATTGAGATTCAACAATTCAATGAAGCATCTGAATAAAGGAAAAGAGGTATTATTATAGGTTTTTGCATTCACTCTGATTGTGCGTTGGTATGACTTGTCAAGCAGAAGGAGCCCCATGTGTTAGATTGCAGTAGAATAACAATTCATAGGATGCTGCCTGGCCCAGCATTACTAGTCTCAGCTCAGATAAGCTTTGTAAAACCCTACATCAGTTTTTTGCTTGTCCAAAAGAACCATTCTTCATGGTTTTAATTTTAATCGGCTTCACTCACAATCCAAACTGAGTTACTTTGTTATGCTGGTCTATAAGCCATCTGGAAACTTAAAATACCACTCCATTAGTCTTGACTACAAAGTTCTGGAGAAGCAGGATACTTGTACCAGTCTTCAAAAGAATTATGAATAGATTCCTAAAAGGGTAATATTTAGTTTTGGGCCAGGCTGAGTTTGGCACTACCCACTGTCTTAAGAAGGCACTTGGGGTAACACCTAAGGGATAGCATAAGAAAAATGCACAGGGACTAGTTTCTGATACCAAACCATCTCAGCTAAAGTATTCCAGATATGTTAAAGGGCTCATCTGGCTTGGTGAGAGAACCAACTTAGGCATCCAGCTTATTAACAAGAGATTCAGGAAGAAATCTGCTAGGAACCCTTATCATAAGATAGCCAAGTTAATATTTAATCACAACATTTTTTCTTTGTAGAAATGAATGATACAGGAAGTAGCTAGTCTTTTGCAGACAATTTCAACTGATTACATGTGACTGTAGTATATATAGGAGAGTATATCTAAGAGGCTGGTACCTTTCTATTCTTCCTTTAGTAGGATGCTTACTATTTCATGAATCTTTGGCTGACAGTCAAAATTCCAGTATGTAAGAATCAAGTATGTATGCCACTCTGGCCAAGAATTTTTCTTCCTTTTCTCAGTCCCTAAGTTCTCAGGGCCCAACTGTAGAATAATAACAGTTTTTGAGTTGAGGAACATGGAAAAGATTATCTAGTAGACTACTGAGTTTAGTATTTTCACATGTACGTACTATGTACAGAACAAGAACTGAAAGCTGACTGGGAATTTTGTTGCCTCTATAAAGTTCACATACAACAAACAGTCACTGTAGGAAAGGGCATCTAAAAACCCTACCAGTCTGCATTTTGTGCTGGACCAAACATTTTGGAAGGAGGCAGAAAAGTAATAGTTGATCATGCTACAATTCTGAGATGAGTCACATCTGATTGTCCCCATTATTTAGTTTGTAGACTGAACACATACTGGAAGCCAGCAGCACACTATAATTTCTTCTGCATAAAATACAGGATGTAACACTGAGCAAACACTTGCAGCATGAAAAGCAGATACAGGAGACTATCATAACCTGCTGGATTCTCACCTTCTAAGAACATTATTAAGCAAGCCTGACAAAGCCTTGATACAAGCAGATATGTAGAGCAGTACTGGAACAAAAGCCCTAGGAAGGAGAGGCGCTTGAGCTGATTTTCTTAGTTATTTCTGTATCTGATTTGGCAACCAGAAACCTTAGCTTCTTTCCCCCAGATCGGATCAAGTCCACAGCACTGAAAGAGAACAGCAGAGTATCTATTAGTTTGTAAATGTGGCTACAGGTAAAATGAATGATATGCATGGCAGCCTAGAAAAGTCAGTTAAGGGAAGATTTGTGAAGCTTTTCCCACTAGCAGCATAGTTTTGCCAAAAACTGTATATATACTACTTACTGTATACATCTTACTCATCATCACCCTCAAAGGATTACAGAGGTCCAGGTGAAGTTGGCTTGATTTTTGCTTTTGTCCTTGCTTTTTAACAGATTTTTTTTTTCTTTCCATACAAAAGATTAGAAATTGGTTGCTGTCCTTTTAAGTGTAAATGTCCTATTTCAAGGGAAAGACTAACAAAATATTAGGGAGTATGTAATAAGTGCCATCTCTCCCCAGCTGTCCTTCACTGCTCTTACTTCTGTCCAAAGCAACACTCGTCTTTGTAGATAGCTGCCCCACTGCTCTTAAGTCTTCCAGTTGAACAGCTCCAGCTTCCTCAACCAATTCTTGTGAGGCTTAGTTTCCAGTCCATCACCCTTGTCTGAATGGATTCTAATTTACTGATGTGACACTTAGGACTGACCAAACACTTCCAAATATGGTCTGATGAGGGAAGAGTATAGCAGGAGTATCATGTGCCTTTTTCTGGGTGCCATGCCTCACCTAAAACAGCTTAGCACAGCATTAACTGGTGTCATTTTTTTTTTTGGCTGCCATGTCCCCGTTGACTCAACTAGTCTAGCTTTTAGTCCACCAAAAACCAAAGATTTTTTTTTCACATTAACTTCTAAGTTAGACTTCCCCATTATTTATTTGTGCAGTTGATTTCCTAGGCCCAAGAGTAGGATTTAATATTTATCCCAATTAAATTTTCCTTAGTTGGTTTAGCTCAACATTTTAATCTCCCTCCGAAGCTCCTCCCCTAATTTAACTCCGCCAATCCTTCCCCTTCAAGAGAGCTTTTTTCTCATCAGATCATTCATGCATCTTTCTACTGCAATCTTGAATGAAGAGGTGGTTCTTCATGCCAATTTGAATAGCAATTCCTTTAGCTAATGCATTGGCTAGCCCTCCTATTTTCAGGTCATCTGCAAATTTAATAAGCATGCCAGCCATCTATTTCTTCATCCAAGTCACAGACAAAAATGGTGAATTCTTTCATAAATTTGTGACAGGTGTTCTGAACCCAAGCTCTTGTCTACTTATTAAAATATATGCTCATGGCAGAACAGTAATTTCTGAAATATACACTGCTTTTAAAATAATAAAAGCTGAAAATATTCCCTTAAAGTTGCCTATGTCAGGACTATAGATCTAGAGTCGGAAGAGACCTTGGAAGGCCAGTCTAAGATGAGTAAACGAAGGTGTAGTTTTGTGACTTGCTTCTGACTTCAAATCTAGTGCTCTTATTCCACCGTATCATTATGGCTTCTTTCTTGTATCGTTAAGACAACGTGCTGCAGCTAAACATCACTCTGCTATTGTGACCAGCAAGCCATGACCCTGAGGATTTTTTTCTGTCCATAGACCACCCAAACAGGAAATGGGAGTAGTAGGGGGAAGCTACGAAGAAACTCAATGAGACAGCCACTTCAACAGTAAGTCACCATAGTCAGGGGCACATCAGAGAGAACTTAATGATGCTTTCCCTTCCTTGCCTCTCTCTTCTAAACTATCTATGAATCTGGCTTTCCCTCTTCAAAGTTACCATCTCTTATTTACCCATTCCAGTGGTCTTTTCTCAGTTTTAATCTTTCTTGTCTTCACTGCATCATTTTTTTTTTCTTACGAGGCAATTGGGGTTGACTTGCCCAGAGTCACACACAGCTAGTACGTGTCGAGTGTCTGGTCTGCGGTTGAATTTGAACTCAGGTCCTCCTGACTCCAGGGCCAGTGCTCTATCCACTTCGCCACCTAGCTGCCCCATCACTGCATCATTTGATAACTGTTGATCACCACCTAGATACTCTCTAGGTTTTCATGATACTGATCTCTCCTAGTTTCCTACCTGTTTGACAGCTCCTTACTCTCCTTTGTGACTTCATGTCATGTCCCCTACTGTGAGTGTTCCCAAAGCTCTGTCCTAGACCGTCTTTTCTATACAATCTACTTGGTGATCTCCTGAGTTCCCATAGATTAAATTATCATCTCTAGGCAAAAGATTCTTAGATCTACATATCCTGCCCCAGTCTCTTTCCTGAAATACAGTTCCACGTCACCAACTGTATTTTGGATATCTTGAACTGGATTTCCCAAAGGCAACTCAAACTTAACAAGTCCAAAATCATTACAAATCATTATCTTTTCACTCAAACCCTCCCCTCTTCTAAATTTCCGTATTACTGTTGAGGGCACCATTATCTTTCCATTTACCCAAGCTTACCACCCTCAGTGGCTTTGACTCATTTTCACCCCACATACGCAGTCCCTTACCAAATCTTGTTTCTAACTTCAGTGTCTCTTGTGTATGTCTCCTGTTCACTTCCACAGTAATTACCCAAATTTAAGACTTACCACCTCTTGCCTGGACTTTAGGAATAAAGTTTTTCTCCACTCCATCTTTTACTTAGCTATCAAGATGTTTTTTTTTTTAAAAGACGTATTTCTGACCATGGCTTTAAGGGGTCATGAAGAGTTGGACACAACAAACAACTGAACAAGTGACCGTGGCACCCTCCTGCTACAGTGACTACCCATTAACTGTAGGATGAAATATAAACTCTTCTGTTTGGTATTTAAAGTTCTTCATAACCAGCTCCCCCCTTCCTAGCTTTCCAGTCTTTTTACACTTTACTCCCCTCCATGCACACTATGATCCAGCTACACAGGCCTAATTGCAATTCCTTAAACATTATGTGTCATCTCCCATCACCTTACCTTTGCACTGGCTATTCCCCATGCCTGGAATGCTTTCTCCCTTCCCCTCTGCCTTTTGGTTTCCCAGGCTTCCTTTAAGACTCAGCTCAAGTCCCATCTCCTTTCCTGGACCCCAGCTGCTACTGCTTTCATCCTCCCAGCTTACCTTTTATCATACTTTCTATCAAAACTGTCATTATATTTTCTATATACCTAGTTATTGACATGTTATCCCCCCCATCAGGACATCCATTTCTTGAGGACAGGGACTGTTTTTGCTTTCCTTTGTTTGCTCAGTGCTTAGTACAGTGGCTGGCATATAGTAAGCACTTAATTACACTTACTGAGATATACTGGGTTCAGAACCATGTTGCATTGAACTTTAAGACCGCCTTACTGTTGTTTCCTTGTCTTAAAAAAGGCCAATTCTGCCTGCACATCCTAACAGCTTGCCCACTTGCTTTTCATTCCAAATTCATTATTTTATTTTGTTTCTCTGTTTTTCTGCTGACAAAAGAGTTGTCATGAAGAGGTGAGCACCCAAAACTATTGAAGACATGTTGGATTATTGTACCTGCTCTGAGGGTAGAAGCCCAGATAAAGGCTTTATAAAATGAATTAAGTTTCTACCTCTGATAATCTGTGCCAATCAAACTGGTGCCATTCACTGCAAGAATTCGATCTCCTAAGGAAAGTCTACCATCGGAGGCTGCTGGGCTGTCCGGGATCAAGGTCCGGATGTAGATACCAGGAGCATTCAGAGGAGTGTGCTGTAAAAGATAGGAATTCACACCACCACTGTGGGACAGCAGTAAGGCCTAGGATGTTGGCATGAGAACAAAGCTTGGCTGAAATTCTCACTTCTGTGTACCCTGTCATTACTACACATAAAGCAACATTTTCAAATAACCTATTGCTTTGCTTCTTCCACACCTGTCCCACTGTGCACACATGGCAGTAGTGCAATAAACACATAGCTAGATGCCTCATTCTGTATGATCATCTCTAGTAAAGGAGAGGCAGTGTGGCATGGCAGACAGAGACCTGGCTTTTAAGCCAGCAAGACATGAGCTCAAGTCCTGCCTCTGACACATTGTGGTATGTGAACCAGGTAACTGTCTATAAACCGCAGAACTAAACTATCTAAACTGCAAAACAGTTTTGAATCTTCACTAGGGAAGGCAGTTGCCTTGTACCAATAAAAGCACAGGTGTGGGCCAACAAAGGAGCATGTATGAACTTTAAGGAGGAGGGCAAAAAAATGTTCCAGAATTTTCAAATACTCTCATTAATATGGGTAACTGAAGATTTGGTTTAATCAGAATGGAAGGTTTGCGAATAGGTTCTAAAAAATTCTTGGTGTGTGACCTCATTTTCCTGGGCATCCTCCAAGCTAAAGAGAAAACTCCAAGTACAGAATCTCTTATAAGCTCTCTTCCATAGAAATACTATTCACCAAGTTGTCATCTCCACTGGTGACAACTTTTAATAGTTTTAAGTGGGAGTCTGAGGAAGCTCTTTATCAGTGGGAATTTGATTTTTTCCATTTTCCCTCAACAAACCCAGGCACTAATCATGATCATCCAATCATTTCCTGAGTGCCTCCCCCTCTTCAGACTAAATTAATTTTTAACATGAGGGTATGACCATAAAATAGTAATAATAAATGCTCACTACATCACAAATACTTAATACTTTTAAAGAAATATTCCCCTAGACCTGGAACAAGAAACCCTGGGAGTTGTCTAGGAAGTGAAAGAAACACATCTAAGAGATACCTATCAAGTATACCTCTTTTAGACAGTACATGAGCCAGAAGGTAGTAGCTGGGACTAATTGCCTCCAATTCACTCACCAGCCCATCTATCAGGCCCATCCCCAGCCCAAGGGGTCCTCTTTCCAACTCCACGACAAAGGCGTAACAGAAGTCATCAGTGGCTGAACTGCGACTGGAGGAGGCAGGGGTAGGATAATCAATGGGGGTGGGAGAATCTCCTGTATAACCAAGAAAAGATGGTTTGAAATGAAAAGCAGCAGTACATTTAAACATGAAGGTAAGAAAACTATATGCAAGCATATAAATAACAGACCTTATGGGCTATTAGTCAATTAGCTATACAAAAACCATAAGACAAAAGTATAATACAGTGGATGTTTCTTCAGGCTCCCCAGTTCTCCCACCTTTTGGCCAGCTCTGACCCTCACATGCCTTCTCCAGAGATTGATCAAAGAGACAACATAAAATTGTTAAACTTAAATCAGTTATTATCACCACTAAAATACGAGGTTACAGATAACATCTCAGATATCCTTGGTGGATGCCCCACTATTACTTATTCCTTCCATATATTTGGTTTCACTTTGTTTTAGCGTATATGCTCCAATTAGCAACTTAATGCTGGCTATCCACAAATACAAGGTACTCATATATCCTTTAGGGCATTTATTTTGCTTAGGGAATTGAATTATTCTGGAGGTTAAGTTTCCCTTGCTGCTCTCTTTTGGGGAAGGGAAGAGCCTGTTTTAATTTAAAATCCAACCCAAATCGGGGATTACCTTTGTGGCGTTCAGTTTTACACAAGTTGCCAGTGTTCGTTACTTTCTTAGGTATTGTTGCTGTTGCTTGTCCGTTGTTCTGAAAGAGGATCGTGACATCAGGGAGATGATGCCATAACTTGCAACTGAACTGGATTTAAGTGAAGGAAGACTGTGCAAAGTCACCAGCTTCTCTCCTCCAGAGCCATCTGGGTCCAGTGGCCAGATATAGATCAGGATGACTGGAGATGGCTTGGGATACAGTGAAAGACCTTCGCCTTTTTACGTTAAGGTCTTTAACAGGTCTCAGTATGACTGAGGCAATGCCCTTCCGTGATTAAGGCTATATAAGAAAAGAGGCAAAGAATGGCCTCTTTTACCTAGTCAAAAAACAAAATCAATCTGGGAAGACCCTGTGGGTTTCTGGCCACAACAGAAACAACTGCTATTTACATTCACTCTCAACCATCAGAACCTAAACAGTGCGGGTTGGGCTGGGACCTATTGGCCAATCAATGAGAGCCAGAGTGATTTAGGTTTCAAGCATGGTCCTTAAAAAGAAACCCGCACGGTATCTTGCAAATTTTCAGCAATCAAAATTTATATTCCTTTGGACAGAGCACCCACAGGAAAGGGTACGATTTCCTACGTGGACAGAGGAAGAGGAGGGAGGGAGGGAGGGAGGGAGGGAGGGAGGGAGGGAAGGCATTAGCAGGTATTACTATCACAGAGATAGCCTCATCCCTTTATTTTTCCAAGACTGTCCTGTCTCAGGGTTTCCAGACATTAACAAATAGCTGACAATAGTTAGATCTTGTTTTTTTTTTTGCCTCAACCTTTACAGAATCTCAGAGCTGGAAGAGATTTTATTTGCTACCTTAGTCCACCGCACTTTGCAAATATGGTCTCTGCAAATCTGCTATGTAGTCATTTGGTCTCAGCTTGAAGCATTCTAGTGTCAATGAATTGCTACTTCCTCAGCTTCCTATTCCACTTTTGATCAGCTGTAATTATGAGGGAGCTTCCTTACACCAATCCTAAATCTGCTTCTCTACAGCAGTGGTATCAAACTCAAATATAAATGGATCCCTGTAGGCCACCTGTTGACTTAGAAAACCACAAATTAACATGATCAATGTTGTGCTGGTTGAACATTTTTCAGTTATATTTTAATATGGTCCTACTCTAAGGAGTTTAACACTTCTGCTGGTTTCACCCTACCATTCCTCAATGGCCCCTGGGAGGCCAATCCCTCTTACACATCACCTCCCTTCAAGCTCTCCTTCAGGCTGATCACCCCCAGTTGCTTCCACTTATCTTTTGGATCTGCAAGCCTCTTGGTCTCCTTGTTGCCCTTCTCTGCACAGACTTCAGCTTGCCTATGTCCTTACCAAAACGTGGGACTCAGAACTGAACACGGCTCTTCCTCCACGTTTGGTTTGATTAAGGCACTGTCATTCATCTCCTTCTGCACACTATTCCTCTCAAAGAAGCCGAAGAGGACACCACTAGCCTTTTCCACTCTCACATCACACTGTTTAGCTCACACTGAGCTATCGTAATCCCAGATCCTTTTCAAAGGAAATGTTTGTCATTGAGCCCTTTCCCCATCCTATAATTTGTGAGATTGATTCTTTGGTCTCCAATGCGACATTTATCCCTACTCCAGACCCTTTAAAATCCACTCTCCCCAAATCTAAGGGAAATGGCAGGTCACGCCCAATGTTCTCCCCCTTTTCAGAAGCTGTGGTGGAGTAGTTAGTCATTTGTTCTTATCATTTCTACTTCAACAACCAGTAGGTTCTTCCCTGTTGGTCAGAATTATCCCAGAGCAGTAGTTCATCTCATTACTTCCTCCACATGGAAAAGCTTATCATTCAGTTGAGTCATGAATGTAGTGGCTACTCTGCTTGGAGCAGGAGTGCTCCAGAAGATGTATGGATAGTTTGAGCTACCCTTTCTCTACATCCAGGTCAAGCATGTGATTTGTTTCCTGAACTCCTTATATATGTCTTCCAGTGCTCATACAGTTGCCTTCAATGACAATATTATTTTTAATTCTCCCTCATGATTCACCCAAGTGCTCTCCATCACAGTCCCTATAGTAACATTTTTTTTTTTTTTTAAGAATCTCTAGTTCATATCCTATTTATAACTCTGCTTTCAGGAAGAAACAGAATTAATTAGTCCAAGAGACTCAGGTTTCCCCTTCTGGTTCTGAAGAAATATTATAGAGTCTTCTACCCCATGAGATGTTTGGCCACTGTGAATGAACTCAGGGGCTGCAAGGACCCTCAGTGATATCTAAAGGCAGGCCCTGAGCAGTCAGCCCATCTCGATTTAGTCAGAATGACTCTTTTTCTGTGTACACAGGCATTTACACATACTAGTCCACCTTCCCTGGAGCTCACCAAAAAATGAGCCAGGCACTGGTTCATCTCTCTCCCTACCTGATGGGACTATCTAGCAATCCAAGAAAACTGTGGGAATATTCACAGTTGGATGTGAAACAAAATGCTCAATGTGCACATGGAGGTATCTGTAACTCTGTTAAACTGAACTGCATCCCTAAAAGCGACTCTGTCTATAGGAAGCTCTCTCTACCAAGGTTAATACTTCCTCCCCCACATAATGACACAGAGCCCAGTAACAAGGTGAAGCCAAAAGACTTTCCTGGAAACAATTCTTTTCCCTTAAGTTTCATGTGGAAAAAACTGTTTCTTGTTTTGACAGGGTGGGTGAGTCTAATGGAAACTTGTACAATTGTTTATTCAAGTCAACTGGGAGCTACCAGTTCCTCAGCCAGAGGGCTGCCCGCACCTTCCTGTGCAGTGCTCTGAGCACGAAGGCCATTCCTCTTCAGCTCATGCAGGGGTTTTTCACAGCTGCCACTGGGCTGGGGAGAATCCTGACTTCTGGGTTCGAAGTTGAGTGGTGTGTTGGGAGGGGTCAACAGACAGGAAGAATCCCCGTGAGGTGTGTTCATCTTAGGGCCATTCCTGCCCATGCTGTTCTGTGGCTTTAGCTTCTCCAGGGTTCTACCAGGGGACTGAGCTCGGGATGCCCCACTGGCAGGGACAGATAGGGTTTTGGCTGCCTCTCCAACCGCCCTGCCCCCTGTGCCCCCTGAATGCTTTGAATCCACTTGGTCCCCAGCATCCCTGGAAGTCACTCGACTACTCCGACTCTCTGAGTTCCCTTCAGGAATAGTATGATGCGAACCCTGAAGAAGAAAAGAAAAGGAGTAGATCAATTCTACCACAGGTCTGAGACAAAAAGGATAAAAATATCAGAAATGTTAAAACGATAAAGTGTTATGTGAAAGTAAGGCTGAGAAAACAGAATAAAGATCACAGGTATGTCATGGCCATCTCACCCTTCTAAGAACACAACGGGATGGCCAGATATACCAAGTTGGCCTGATGGAGAAATTTTCAGAACCTAATGCCAGAG